GGTGCGTTATTTTTAATGCAAAAATAAATTTAAAATATTTAATTCCACACTTGGATCGATGAATGTTGTTTGACATTTTTATGTTTTAGATCTGATTACCTATATTATTTTTTTTTTTTTATAGATAGAGAAATGCGTTACGGTGCGTAACGCATTTCTCCGTAAGTGTGCATAAAATATAGTCCTCATTAAAGCCAGTGCCAGTCTCTATCGCTAGATGGCGAGTACCTTAAATCTGCAAATCCCCAAAATTGTGAAGTAAAAATAATGGTTTAAGTAAAACGCAGTTTTCGAAAAATTCGAAGTGGTTTAATATTGAATTCAACATTAAATGTATGACTCAGCGAGTTCAAAACTTATTTACGTACTGCTTTCATCTATATATATCTGCAAAGACATCATTGTGCAATGCACAACATATTCTACTAGCCCCCCCCCCCCCCCCCCCCNCCCCCCCCCCCCGTAATAACGCTCTGTTTCTCGCGGAAAACGAATTAAGAGCCGCGGCGCGCGCGACCACGATGCACTCGACGTCGCAGAAATGGCACGTCTCGTATCATACGTACAAGCACGCTGTGCACTTCGCGGCCCTTTTTTTGCTCTCTCTCGTGTACCACTATACCGCGTATATACCCCGCGCACAAAAAGATCGTAAAAGCCACCACCGTCGGATCGCTGCATCGTATACCTCTACCGCACACATACACTATATATCGATTGCTCGCGAGGGCGCCTCCTCTCCACGAGGCGAACGCGAGATTCTTTTTGAGCTCGAGCCCCGAGAACTGCTGCATAGCGAGCGAGCTCGGCTCTCGCTGGTTAATGTAAATAAAAGGAGGAGTAGGAAAAAAAAATCAAAGAAAAGCTTCGCATTCGTGTTTATACGTATCCTATATATATATATATGACCGCAAGCCAAGAGCGCTCGAGAGAATTTCAATCGCGTTGATACAGCTCGAAAGGAAAAATCACGAATACTGCTACCCACCCCCGCGTGCGCGCAGTGATGTGTTTCTTTTTCTTGCTCTATATAATTCTCTGCGTTGTTTACACACACGCACACGTGGGCAACGGTCCAAACGCTCCTCTCTGCATATATGTCCCTTTTGGATACGGCGCAGTAATGATTTACACTAATTTACCCTCCGTGTTTCCGGTATTATAAAAGGGCTCTCCTCATCATCATCATCATCATCATAAACTCTGCGAGCCACAGTGTGTTTATACACACACACAAACATCTTTATAATTCATTCTCGAGGCTGAATTTAGCAACCTCAAATTCTCAGATTAAACGGGCACACAGTATGTGTATTATATACCTCCTTCACCCCCTGCGGCTTAGCTGCTGCTGTTGCTCTTAACGGTCCTTATAAATTGCTAGAATATTCAATGAGCGAGTGTGTGTGGTCACTTCCTTTCCCGGTATACTGCTCGGCCTGCTTGTGCTTGCACAGAGCTTTTACGCTACTCTACTATAATTATTTATATTTTAAAAAGGAGATGCTGCGAAGATATTACACGAAATCGTTAGCAGCGATTTATGCTATAACATGCAAATCCACAGTCCATCGAATCGGACGGTACATTATAACGACACTCGAGCATCGAATTACAAAATGCAGTACAGCTACGAGTAGTAGTAATGATTATATCTCAGTAGCGGCGAGCTGAGGTTTTCTCGCGCGCGCGTGCCGAGTCGCTCGGCAGAGTCGAGTAGCAGTAGCAGCAGCAAACGTTGCATTATTCATGCCAAAGCGTCTGTGCGGCGCGGCGGACCCCATTGTGTATGTACTACTGCTACTACTGCTGCTACTGCTGGCCTGGCCATGGACGCTCGAGACGAGGAAAAGAAAAGAGGAAAAAGATTTTTATATTACGATTTATATTGTACGACGTTGTTATACGTATATATATATATGTAGGACGAGAGGAGGAGGAGGAGGGTTGATTCAATATGTGCAGATGTGGAGAAGAATGAAAATCGAAGGAAAAGCTTTTAGCGGTGTGTACGAGCGCGAGTCTGCGTCGCGTGATTTATTACAGAGAGAGACTTTATATTTTTCTCTCTTTTTTCTAAGATTTTTCATTGAATAATTTTCAGCCTGCGTGAAAACTTAAAAGCCCCCAACAACAAGTAGTCGCGCGACACGCAGAGGCCTTCCAAATCCGCGCACGTGCATAATTTTTTTCTTTGTAGCTTCGGTTTCTTCCGCCTTTTATATACAATAAGCGCGGCAAAAACGATCCGACATTGATTCTTGGGCCGGGGCGATCTACAACACACACACCCACACACAAAGCCTTCAAGGATGGTATTGTGCCGCGCGCGCGGTGGAAAGTTAGTCACGCGACGACTTAAAGCTCTTTCTCTCCTTCTCTCCTCGCGCTTTCTTCTAGGCTTTACGCCACTTTGATAGAGGCCTCGAGATTACAAAGGGCCGTGGCGGGGGGCGAGGGAGTCGAAGAAAGAGAACGAAGGAAAGCAAAAGAAATTGTCGCGCGTTAACGAACGAGACTTAATGATAGCTGGCAACTCTGCGTGCACGTGTACAGGTGTACATATCGGTCCGGATGCGAATCGATTACGATGTTGTTTTTGTCGTTATTATTTGAGGGGAAGAGCTACTACTACTCTATATGAACAGGAAATCGATGCGAACTTTTCTGCCCTCGTTATATACGTACGAGCTGTGCATCGACGCGAGAGAGGTAGAGCTTTTCGATCAATTAAACGTGTACCGTACTGCCAGACACGTGTGCCATTTACAGATAATTGACCAACTCTCGAACGTAACTTATATGTACCGAATTTTCATTATGAAAAGCTCGTATTATTACGAAGAAAAAAATTGTCGCGGTAAATATGTACACGAAAAATTCTGAAATAACTCGAGTATTATAATTGCAAAACCTTGGAGAAAAGCTATAAGGACAAATTTATTTTACCCGACGCTTCCAAGTTCAGTCTCGGCGATCGATTCTCCAGTCCTTTATTTTCTCTCTCTCGAAGCTCTTTGATTCTCAATTAAAGTACTATTAACAAAGGCAGCAGCAGTGTATCTAGTGTACATTTAAAACCGTCAGCGAGCGGGGAGCTCTCTTCGAATTATTAACGGCTTTACTTTTTACCCCTCGATACGTGTACAATGAAAACGATTAATTACTTCGTTATGTGTGTGTGTGTGTGTGTATTTGTGTGTTGTAATCAAAATAGATCGGAAGGATATTTTCACTGTGTGTGTGTGTGTGTAGTGCGCATCTTTCGCGTTCAAAGGAGAAAATTAAATGTATAGAAAGAAAACCCGTGAGGCACGTCGGACTCAATTAAATTTGCCTCTCTCTCTGCGAAAGAAAAAAAAATATGTAGTTTCAAAGGAGCACTCCTCGAGAATTTCATTTCCTGCATATAATTTATATAGATTATATATAATATGAAAGTTGAGTGTGTGCACGTGCGCGTGCGGACGGCATTTCGCATTTCGCGAGCTTTGTATAGCTCTTGAAATATTTACCGCTGGGGGAAAAAAATAAACGAAGAATCGAGTATCGCTCGACAGGTTTTTTTTTTTTTTTTTCAATTTTTTAATTTTTTTTTCCAAACTGATGCGAGCCCGCGATATGTATATTCCTCTATGGTCAAAGTTTGGACGCTGTTCCAGCCGTATACACGCACTCATGTGCCATATCTCGCATTCGAGAAATTCAAAGGCTGAAAGAGAGCCTCGCGCGCGAGGTCACGAACGCCGTTTTGACGTTTCATTTGCCTGCCTCTGACTCTGCCCTCCTCTACCTCCTCTTTTTTTTTTTTGAATTTTTATTTCAGCTACGGGTGGAGGGATGAAGTGCAGGAGATCTTCGCTCGTGAATGCTAATTGAGCAGCGTTAAATTAGTTGGCTCGTTCGGGCAATGAAACTAAGAATTTATTCTTTCTTTCTTTCTTTCTTTTTTGTTTCATTTTCTTAATTTAACCGGTACATCGTCCCGATGGAAATGCTCGACATTTTATGGCTGGCTTTTTAGCCGAGCGAAAAAGTTTGTCGGACGTAAAAGGGTAATTAGAATTGGACATGCACGTAATTAGAAGTGTAACGTTTTATGGATGTATACCAAATTTTGAGTTTATAAAATTCTTGCAAAGTATCATTTAAACACACTTTCGATAATTATTATTTATTTTCTACATCTGAAATGTAAAAAACGTCAATCAAATTAAATTTGTCAATCTGAATTTGATAACTTTATAATAAAATGCAATTTAAAACTTGCGCATAGAAATAAATCGAAAAATAATAATGAATAGAGGAGATACCGACAATTAACCATTTGAAATCCATGTTATACTTATACAAACATTTTGACTTTACTACTTGCAGATTTACAGAAATAAGGCACATCGCCATCTAGCGGTGAAGGCTTAGATTAATACCATCGTATTTAAAGGAATCGAAAGCGAAACTTTTTGAAACAGTTGAATTGTCAATTTTTGGTCATCGAGCCATTATATTAACGATGAGAATACACAGTTGGATGGTAAATTACAATTTTACACCAACTTCGAACGCACAACCACGAATTATATACAAAGTCGCACGTAAACGGTGAAAAAGGCATTAAAAAATAAATCGGTTACGCGTGCCTACCCGACTGTAAGAAAAGTGTTATAAGTACCGATCGATGCACACGTGGTCGTCCGCAACTTTCCTTTTTTTTATCTTCTTTTAAATACTTTCTACGCTCACATGCATAAATAAACGGAAGGTTTACCCTGTCTCGCTCTTTCTTTGACAGCGGGTAAATATGCTAGAGTAATATAGGCTCGTTTACTCGGACACGATCTATAGACAGCAGCTTTCGGTTCATATCTTTCGTCGTACAACGATAATAACCCCAACAACAGCGACAACAATGACAACTCAAATTGCCGCCGGACGAAACTCGAACGATTCTACTTTTTTTTTCTACTTGAAACCAGAAAAAAAAATGCTCGGCTACAAACCTGCATGCTTCGGGACGCCAGAGCCGCATCTTCGTTAACTGTATTTAATTAAAAAACTATTTCTTTCTCTATTCCTATGCACAGCACTGTTTACGACGATATCCAATATCAGTGCCGTTCGCATGCGGTTCTCAACGACAACAACAACAAAGAACAGAACTATTCGTCTCCTTCAGCTTCTTTTCACTGTATATTGTAACCCGAAAACTGTACGACGACTGAAAACTCGCGCGTGGCGTGGCCTGCTGCGACCGCGTGCGTCGTGTTGTTGCGGTGGCGAGCGAGCGGCTACAAGTGACGACGACGACGACGATGATACACTTTCTGCGGGGCTCGTTGCGGGGCTGCTGCCCACGAGTACTAGTAGCAGTAGTAGCAGTAGTAGTAATCGTAGAGTTGCGTGCGTGTAGAAAGCTAAAAGCTCGCTGCCCGCCCCCCCCCCCCCCGGTCTGAAGCTTGCAGCACAGCAGTAGAAGCAGTGGAAGGGGAGGGGGGAGGTATACATACTCGAGCAGCGCACACGCCGACGACGACGACTATCCCCCCTCTCTCTCTCTCTCTCTCTCTCTCGTTTCTGCGAAGTCTGTGTTTTTTTTCTTATATATGCATACGTATTCATTATGTGCGCACGTATGCATATAAGACTGTTACCCTTTCGCGGAAGCAGTTCCGTACCATATAATCCTGTTATTATCGTCACTTCTTTATATACCCGGAACTTTCTTTGTCGCTCTCTCCTTTTCTTTCTTTCCTTTTATTTCTTTCTCGTTCTTCGCGCGTCCAGAAGTAGCAGCAGCCGCACCAGCCTCCAATTATATATCCCCACAACAGCCGAGGGGGGTTACGCGCGAGCTTTTATAAAGCCGCTGCTGCGGCTACCGAAGAAATATATAGGAAGCAATATAAGAAAGCGAAGAAGCCGAGATATTGAGAGGACGCGGCCGGCGATAAATTCTGATCCCCCCGAGTACTACTGCTGCTGGGCGAATGAAAAAGTATCGCTTCTCTGTACACACGTACAGGGGGCGAGTTTATATTGCGGAACGTGTTTCTTTACCTTTCTCTTCTTGTTCGTTAAATGCCCTTTAATCCAAAAAATATTTTCTCATTAAGCTCGCCGACACACGTTGTTGTGTAATATATTTCGCGAAGATCGTGTTTGTTTCGACGAATGTCTGTCGCGCGCGGGTTGTCTCGTTACAGGCGCGCACGCTGTATCATCCATTCTAGGATTATCCGGGGACCCGTATGTATATATGCAATAACAACAACAACAACAAAACCGTTTAGAAGTTGGGCGAGTGGCGTATACATAAGAAATGTCCCGAGGTAAAAAATGAACCAAGTCTTTACCTGCGACGACAAGAGTGAGATATAGGATACAGAGAGAAATATTTTCTCAGCTCTCTCGGATGTCGCGCGGGCAAAAATGCCCTCGAACGATGCGGGCGGCAACAATTTGACAAGGATAAATCGACATGGCAAAAAATGTCTATGTAACTCGAAACATTTTTCTGTATATACCTCTCGTCGTCTCGAGAAAAGGTACGCGACGCTGTATATCATGTATTGTATATATACGCGTGCGCATGCAAAAACGTCAAAACGACGTCAATTTCGAAAATGGGAATAAAAAGCCAAGCGAAGAAACAAAATTAAATCTACCGATGTGCGCCGCGAGCATCGCATCTTCTATAGCAGAAACGCAATAATAATAATAATGTGTGTGCGAGTCACGTACTTTAACCGGAATTTCCGTCCGGGGCATGCACGAAGACGAACGACGCAAATCATTCGATTGCGCGCATTTAAAAATTGAAGCGGATCGAGCTTAGAGAGCGAGCCTAGAGATCTGCGAGTGGGATAAGGAATAAGCTCCTTCTCGATGGGCGCGAGAAAATGCACACACATGTCCGTAAGGGTGCAGAAAAGCCTGTGCAGCGGCTGTATAATGTACATACATATAAACTCGCGTTGCTGCGGTGCAGCGAGCGAGAAAAACGAACACACAACCCTCTCTCGGCGTGGGTCAAGGACGTGGCCCTGGACTCGACACGTTGGCTTCTGTATACACACCCGCATTTCCTCACGGACAATACTCGAGAAGTGTAAGTCGCCGTGTATTTGTGTGCGTGTGAAATGATCCTCGACGGTAGCTACCTGGACAATCGATTTTTCTACTCTCTCTCTTTCTCTCTCGCACACATTTTTTTTGGATCGCGTCTCGTTCTTTTATAAAACCGGCTTGATCCTCGAGCCACCACCGCGAGCTTGAAATATTGAACGAATTCGATTTTACATTCGCTCGAAGCTCGTAAAAAGCGATCGGCGCGAGATCAGAGCCGGAGCTCGTTTGAATTAAAGAAAGAAGAGCGCAAGCGAGAGAGAGATGGAAAATTCATGCCAACGCCGAGGGGGATAGAGCCCCGATAAATACATCGGCATGATTTCTCTTTTCTCTCGTGGCATGCAAAATGTGTGCAAGTTGTAAGCGCGGCCAGTTGTACGCGCGTTCGGCTCTATACACATACATAACCACCACCACTTCGGGGAGTCCGCAAGTAGAAATACATCCAGTTAAGTCAGACATTGCACGAGGCGCAGAGCAACCCCCCGAGGAACCGCGAAGAGAGCTGCGAGCGTATAACGTTACATATTTCTCGTTATACAGAGTAGTAGTAGTAGCAGTAGCAGCAGCAGAAATGGCAATGGTGCATGCAGCACTCGTTAGAGCAAAAAGCCTCACTCGTTCCGCCCGGCAACAACCCAGCTCACTCGCTCTCGACTATATACGTGATACAGTTTATGGGCATTCGGTGTTCAGGCTGTATAGAAGATATCTTTTCGGCCTCGAGCACGGCCTATATTACAACACGATCCTTATTCCTTTTTTTCATGTTTAATATCGTTTCGATCTTTCTGCATACCGACTCGTTTGCTTCCTAAAGTCGTTAAAAAAAAAGGGAAAGAGAGAGAGAAAGAGAGAAAAGTCGTATGCAAAAATGCACAACGAGCGGGCAAATTTTAACGACATTGAGAACGAGGAAAAGAGAACTTATCTATCTCGACCACACACGGGCACATACTAGGCTTTCTCCTTGAGAGAGCTTGCGAATCTTCGAAATTATGGAGCTTGCCAAAAACGTACGATATCAGTTAGTTTATTCGTCCCTCGCTCTTACACACGCTCGATTCCTTAATTGACTTTTCCTTTTGGCTTTCGCGCGTGTGCCATTCGGCTTGATTAATGCTCCGAACTTTATTCGCACGCGCCTTAATCAGTGCGAACTTGACTCGATCTCGACGTTGTTTGGGGCCCTTACGTATAAACGCACACGATCCCTCTTATCATCGTCATTATTATTAACGTTATATCGTTGCCTTTTTCGCTTTACTTTTGCTTATCTCGAACGAAACATTAATCACGATAATGCATCGGATATAATTGCTCTCGCGGCACAGTCTTCAGTGGTGCTGCTGCGGAGAAAAAAAAGGGAATAATATATCGCGTACAAATATAACACGCAAAAGAGCTCCGCAGCTTTTTCTAGGATAAAGAGAGAGACAGAAAAAAAGGAAGAGCAAATGCCTCCCTTTTCAGCCTTTCTCTCTCTCTCTCACTCTTTTGCTGTAAAAAGTCCTCGGGTGAAAATTACACGTATAATTATATAATGCACTCGAGGGTCATCGCAGCCCTTTTTATTCCTCTCATCTCTCTCTCACTCTCTCTTGTCTCTCTAATCGAGCGCGACGCGCGTGTGATCCTTCGCGCAGCGTATATACTTTGCAAACTGCGCGTATATTTATATAAACTTCGCCTTTTGTTCGCTTGTATAAGGTAAACGCCAAAGTAATGAATTGATGTCTATCGCGCTGCAGAACTGTAGTGCTATAGTACTCGGAAGAAACTTGCATAATGTATAAAATGACGTACGATATGTACTTAATTAAAATTAAAAGTTAATGCACACACACGAACACACGAGGGGGTGTACAAGCTCATAGATGGTATCGGAAGCCTCGGAGAGTTGACTCGAGTTAACGTACTCGCTTCTATAACGCGCGTATATATATTTACCTTGATAAACTTGAAAATTCGAAATCGATATTCGGCTCGGCAGTGATGTAAACCGTGTGTAATTTTCAAGGCACGCGCGCGCGCCAGCATGGAAAAATAATAACATTAGATGAGAAGCTTCTAAATGACGTGTGCGCGCAGCAGTCAATGCCAACGACAGTAGCAGCAGTATAAGCAAGTTAATAGCTGCATGGGAAGCACATTTCGACCCCCGTGGGACATATGGACGTATACAGCATCGATATGCGCGTGTGACGCAATCTCGATCCGTGAGTCAAGCATAAGGCAGACGAAGATGAGGAAGATGAAAGGGAAAACACGATGCAAACTACAAATTGGTCGGACTACTTTGGTATTATTATATAAATATTAAAACCAAGCTGAGATATTGCGAGTTGAAGTCAAAGTTTTATTAAGTTTGAATTTCAAAATTTCGTCGTTATCATCGTTTATTTATGTTACCCCGCTCGAATCCAAAAATGTTTATTACATCTTGTGTAGAATGTTGTGACAAACATTTTGGTACCACTTTTGCACGGTCGCTAAAGATTTAGGGATCATGGGTCACTTCTGGTGGGTAAACCGCTCACCTATCAGGTCACTGTGCGTGATACACTCGTGCCGGTCAGCAACATCAAGGATGAGAACTAGGTGAGAGGCTGGCGTTCTCTACTTCTCGCGAGTATTTCTGTTAATTTCTGTTAATAAAAAAGGAGGTATTTCTATGAATTTTGCATTAATTATTGCATAACTTTTTTTTTTAATCAACGGATTTTCAATTAATATACGTCAATCTCTTTGTTTTTCATAGACTAATGAAATTATAACAACTTGTTTAAATCTATCTTCAATAGTTTACACGATATGGCCATTTAAACAATTAATTTGTTTATAACTTTTTAGAGAAAATCAACCTCGAAAAATCGATTCAGCGCATCAAAATACGCCTAGAAACGTATAGAAATACCGTGAACTCGAGCCGTGAAGCCGATGCTGCGTATATATGAGCACCGTAACACCGCAGCTCTCTTTGTCATACTTGCCAAAGGGAGCGCGAGGCGCGCTCCTCAATCCTTCTCTTCCTCCGGCGTGCGACACGTGTGGCAATAATTATATATATGCCCATGTGTGTGCGCTGCAGCTGTGTGCATCGAGGCTAGTCATAAGCCAAGCACGTATAATAACTATACGTATTCTCGTGTGCGTACATATACTCTGTATTACGCGCTTATTTAACGACGCGAGGATTATCGATTCCTCAGGGCGACTTGAATAAATTATATGTATAATACATAAGCGCGCGCGCGCATACAAATATAATAATTACGCTTTAATTAGTCTCTCGTATGCAGCACACACGTGGGCATGATCGTAACCGAAGTATAACGAGAAGAAAAAAAAAACTTCGAGAGTACGATAAAAGCGATCGTGATTTTTTTCTGCTGTGTGCGTGTGTGTGCGTGTGTGTGCACTGGTAACGCTCGCGCAGTTAATTGGAATATTTCACTTGGCACTCGAGGTTTCGCCGAGGCGCGCGAGCATTGATTTGCATAGTTTCCAGTAAAAGTATAATAATGAGGAAGAAAGACTCCGTAGTCGTCGCCAAAAGTTCACTCTCAGCAGTATATGCAGTGTACGGTATACGGTACCACCAAGCGCGCGCGCGTTCTCAAAAGTTTTTGTGCTTGCGCCTGCCCTCCTCCTCCCGCCTCCTTCTCCGGTACACTATATACTATGTATACGCCATTACGAGAAATTCAATTTTGCACACGCACACACATACACACATTCAGCTGTATGTGTGTTTGTATAACTACGCTCGAGTCGAGCTTAATGGCATTTCATTGGCGAGGAATTAGACTTGAATTTTCCAAGGTGAATCGCGTAACGGTAGTGGTGCTGCTGCCGCTGCGCGAGTTACATTGTAATTTAATTTCATTGTTTTTTCGAGCTCGCACGGGAAAACCGGAATGAAAACGGCATTAATATTCCGCCCCCTCCACCCCGGTTTTTTGTTGTCTCTCTTTCTCTCTCTCTCTCTCCTTTTGTCGAGACAAGATCTGTGCACAATTATTTAAATAGTGTTTATACGCGAGCGTTGTACGAACGTTAAGGAAAAATCTTGACATTCACCTTGACTTGACAGCTCGCTAATGAGGTCTCGAGCGCACAAAAAGCAACGCACGAAGGTGAAGGTTTTTAATTTTACGTTTCGTGTTTTTCTCCTTCTTTCCTTTCCTCTCTTTTTTTTTCGTTTTATTACTAGGCTATATACGCAATATTAGCTTTTGGCAATTTATCGTTTTCCATGCATAGCAGCAAAGGCTATTTTCTCTCTATCTCTCTCTCTCTCTCCTCAGTTATAAGTATATAGGATTCGTCGCGTCGTGTTTTTTTCATGTGTATGCACATAAAAGGTGCGCGAGCGAGGAAGATTGGATCATTGATAATTTACAGTAACGCATTCGAATGAGCTCGTGAGTTTTTCCGCGCCCTTCAGTGTGTGTGAGTACAATGCAATGTTTATCAATGAAAGAGCGTCTGCTGCTGTAAAAAAGAAAAGAAAAGAAAAGAAAAGAAAAAAATTAAAACTCAATTTTGCCCACGTTGTATGTATGTATGTATGTATGTATGTGGAAGGGCAGCCTCGAACGCTTCGAACGTCCATTAACGTCGTGCATGATTAACGTAGAGTCAATTTACTGCTTTGCGGCTGCTGCTGCTGCTGCTGCTGGTATACGTCGTCGAACGTGCGTTTACGTCAATCAGGAGTGGCTATCTCTCTCTCTTACTCTGGCTAGTTATGCGATCAAAACGAGAGTTGGCCAGTTGCCGCAATTGTGTGCGCACGATGCCCAATTCCCAGTTTCAGGGGTTTAATTATGATTATTATTATTATTATTTTATGCGAATCTCCGGGAGGCTTTGGAAATTATAACAAGCCAATACATGCAACGGTTTTGTCATTGCGGTTATGTGTCGCTTTCGATGTTTATCTCCTTTTTTTCACGCCCCTCCACCCACCCCCCTTTGTATATGAGATTTAAAAATAGCAACTGATCTTCGACGTACGCGCCACAAGAGGTGGCGGTGGTGGTATACACGCACGTTAATAAAAGAGATGTATAATAACGGTTTTTCCACGCCGTCGTCGCCTTGAATTCAATATCATTCGCCCACCTTCGAGGTATTTTAATCCACCGCAGCCCCGTATTAAATGAACTTGCTGCAGTGCGTCGATCGCCAATCGGAACCTTATATTAGAATAGAGAGTAAAAGTGCGTGGGACGGGGAGAAACAATTGGTTATATTGCCACGAACGCGTGGGATGTATTGTTTTTTTTTTTTTTAATTTATTTTAAAAACGACACGAGGAAGTGCGCGAGGGTGAAAATTCAATCATTGAGGATCTCTTGGGGCGATGTAGTACGAGGGATGACTTATTGTATTATATGTACGGTACGGGAAGTATGATTTCGTTAATGTTATTGCAAGATACTCGTTATTTTTTCTGGAAAGAAGTAGGTACTTTGGTTAAGATTCAACTGATGAATGGGATGTTGGGAAATTGGTTTGAAAGCCATAATCAGAAGATCAAATAAAAGACAATAAATTTTTTGTATTTTAGTTTATGCACAAAAGGTGAGAAAAAAGTTTTACATAATCTTGACAAAATTAATAACAGTTTGAAATATGTTAAGTATATTTACTTGAAAATTTTTATAAAATTACGTAGCGTACTTGTGCAATAACCGAAGTTTTTATATCATCCACATGACTCGAGATGTACTGAGCTCACGTGAAATTCAAGGTGATGTTTTAGTCCAAATTATTTGTGACAAATATCGCACTCGTAGGATTTGATACAATTGTGTACTGAATTTATGTGAGTTTTGAGGCGATATTTACGGGTGAATAACTTATGGCAAATCTCACAATCAAATTGTTTCTTACGATCATGCACTGCATTGATGTGAGCTTCGAGGGTACCTTTTTGTCCAAATGATGTATGACAAATCTCACATTCAAAAGGTTTACTATGATGATGTACTACATTTATGTGAGTTTTGAGGTTACCTTTTAGTCCAAATGATTTGTGACAAGTATCACAGTCGAAGGGTTTGCTCCCAGTATGTACTGAATTTATGTGCTTTTTGAGGGTACCTTTTTGTCCAAATGATGTATGACAAATCTCACATTCAAAAGGTTTGCTACGATCATGTACTGTACTAATATGTCTATTTTGGCCACCTTTCTGTGAAAATAATTTGTGACAAATTTTACATTCGAAGGGTTTGATCCGATTATGTACTGTATTTATGTGAGTTTTGACTTGTTGTTTTCGTCCAAATGATTTGTGACAAATATCACATTCAAGTTTTCTTCCACTATGTATTGTATTTATATGAACTTTGAGGTTACTCTTTAATCCAAATGAATGGCGACAAATACCGCATTCAAAGGGTTTGCTCCGATTATGCACCGTTATTATGTGAGTTTTTAGGTGACTATTGTACCCAAATGATTTGTGACAAATGTAACAATCAAAGGCTTTTTTATGACCATGTACTACAATTATGTGAGTGTTAAGTGCATCCTTGCGGCTATATGACTTATGGCAAATATTGCACTCGAAAAGTTTGCTCCGACTATGTACTGTCATTACGTGCCTTTCCAGGAACCAATGGCAGTCAAATAACTTGTGACAAATTTCACACTTATAACGTTTAATGCCCTCATCTGTCGCACCGATATTGGTTTCCAGAATTGCTTCTTCTTTATAAGTTTTTCGATTAAAATTTTTTTTAATCGATAATTTTGCTTGATCCTTTTTTTTCGATATGTTCACATCCTCGAATTCATCGAACTTCAATCGGAACTTTTCTTGAAACTGACATTTATCATCGTAATTAAACTCTTTTTTTATTAAAATTATCAGATTTTTATCATTTGAATTATTATTTTGTATTTGGTTTTCTACTTTCACGCTAGGTGGATAAATCTGATGCTCAGTTTTGTAGATGCTTGCCAATGGAAACTGCAGTTCAGGTTTAAAATCTTTACACTCAATATCTACGAATATTTTTTCCTCTATCTTTTTCTGTAAAGCCATAGTCTGATGCGTGTGGTTTGACTGAAATTAAAGTTGTCTTATTGGTATCGGCTATAGAAAAAAAAAAAAAAAAAAAAGNATAAAAAAAAAAAAAAAAAAACAGATCACAATTGTAATCATCAAACTTACCGGTAATTCATGAAAGGACAATGTTCCAACATTTTTGACTTCGCAAAAGTCCACAGAATCGAGATTATCATCACCACCTGCGTCTGGCCAATCATCGTTTGGCTCTTCCTTTACCCTTCAAAAAACAATCTTGTTCGATAAAGCTATTGCTTCGAAAAATATCGTGGTATAAATAAACAAAAAGCAATACCTGACTATATCTCCGCTACTTTCCATCACTTTCTTTATTGATTATTTACTCACAATATATATTCACCACACGTACTATGAAAGTAATTTGTTATCACAATCAAATTTTACAGTAAACAATGAGAAAATATTTGAGGTTAATCGCCTCGTGGAGACAACACTGTACCTTAATTTTAGGTAGAGACCTATACTCTTTTACACATAGTATTTGTAAACACTCGCTTACTGCAGGAATTTAGCTCTTTGCTAGCGATTTCAGGCACAACGGGTGTATCATAGCGAGGTGACCGCGCGTTTATGGTAGCTCCTTGGCGATTCTTTCCCCCCTCCGTTGTCGACTAGCCATACAAATTTTTGTACTACGATATAAGTACGCATATTAACATGTCGATACAAAATTGTAATGAAAATGTCATTCATCCAGGCGCACGATTGACTTATGCTTCTCTAAATCGACAGCAATGCACTGCAAAATAATATTACACAAATGGTATTCCGAATGAAGTTGACTTTGTCACTGGAACGACGGGTAATGGTGAAATATTTGTGGCATTTGCGTCGATATCATCGGTTTTTATTTCATAATGCCCATTCACATTACTCAAAATTAATAGAACTCTACTGCTCAAAATATCTATAAACAATACGTGAAAAAAGTTCTCAGCTGATTTGTTTGCAGAACTAAGTAGCCAAAATTTATGAAGAATAACAATTGTCAGTAAAAAAGTGCTACCTCTAAAATGAATAGAGGTGTTTTGATAGACAATATCAGATAAGACTGTCACAATTTTTATTGAAATTTTAGAAAAACATCTATAAAAAGTATGCATATACATTTCACTTCAGTTATCTAATTATGTAAAAAAAATTAGCTCCACAATACTTCATTTTTTACAAAATATGTTATGAGTCAACATATTCTACAATTCACTTCCAATATTCACCAGTTGTAGAACCTCACATTTTTCGGAAAGATTGATATTTTCGAAAGAAGAAAGACCTCATGAAGTGGTACTAACAAGACTATCGTTTATGATAGGTCAAATTAATTCTTATCTTGATCATCATTTCGCACATTCTCATGAAAAAACTTTGCCCTCATCAGCAAAACAAACTTAGTGAATAAAATTGCGTTGGTAAGCAAGTTTTTTTTTAAATTTACTACATACGTAAAATTTCGGGAATGGTTTTTTGAAAATGGATTGAAAGATCTTCGAGATCATGGTGTTTTTTTTACTGTATGATCAAACTGGATTGTTTGATTTACAAATCTTTGCGAGTCTCATGGACTGTTTTTTGGTGTCTGAGCAAATGCGGTTTTTGTGAAAATGCCCTTTCGCACTTGTCACATGCATAATCTTTACGACCTTCGTGTACTGCTTTTATATGCTTCAACAAATCTGATTTACTTCCGTATTGTTTTTCGCATTTGTCACACAAGTAATCTTTGCGGCCATCATGAACTGTTCTTTGGTGGAAGAGCAAATTACTTTTTTGTCCAAATTTCTTCTCGCACTTGTCACATGCAAAATCTTGACGACCTTCATGAACTGTTCTTTGGTGCAAGAGCAAATTACTTTTTTTTCCAAATTTCTTCTCGCACTTGTCACATGCGAAATCTTTGCGACCTTCATGGATTGTCCTTTGATGCAAAAGTAAGCTACATTTTTGTCCAAATTTCTTTTCACACTTATCGCAAACGTAATCTTTACGACCTTCATGAACTGTGTTCTGATGCTGCAACAAATCTGATTTATTTCCAAATTTTCTCTCGCATTTTTCGCATGGGTAATCTTTGCGAGCTTCGTGTACTATCCTTTGGTGCTTTAATAAATCTGATTTAGTTCTACATCTCCTTTCACATTTGTCGCATGCATAGTTCCTTTGACCTTCATGAACTGTCCTTTGGTGGACAAGCAAATACCACTTGAGTCTAAATTTCTTTTCGCACGTGTCGCATGTGTAATTTTTGCGAACCTCACGTGTGTTTTTTTGGGGCTTCAACAAATCTGATTTACTTTTAAATTTGTTCTCGAAATAGTCAACAGAGTAATCTTTAAAAACGTGATGTACCATCTTTTGGTGGAAGAGCAATAGCGATTTTTGACCAAATTTCTCTCCGCACTTATCGCATAAGTAATCTCTGCAACCCTCGTGAACTGCCTTTATATGCAAGAGCAAATTATGTTTATTTCCGAATCTCTTCGCACATCTTTCACATAAGTAATCTTTGAATACTTCGTGGAATATTTTGTTGTGCTTAAGTAAAGTTGATTTGTTTTCAAACTTCTTCTTGCACTTGTTGCATGAGTAATTTTTACGATCTTTGTGTACTAATTTTTGGTGCGTCAACAAACTCGATTTCTTTACAAATTTTTTCTCGCACTGGTCGCATGTAAAATCATTACGGCTTTTGTGTTCTGATACTTGATGTCTACTCAAATGACTGCGAAACGCAAATGTCTTTTTGCACTTGTCACATGCATAATCTTTTCGTTCATTGTGAATTGTGTCTCGGTGTCTTATCATACTCGATTCCAGTTTAAACGCATCCTGAGAAATATCCCAAATGTGTTGTTTGTCGTTTGTAACAACAATGTCATGTTCACTAAAATTATCTCTTGAGAAACCTTTTTCGGATATCCTCTCACTTTCATCCATTTTTTGGTTAAACGATGGATCCTTTTATTTGGTGCCACGAAAATTGAACGAGTAAAATTGGTCTTTTGGTATTATGGCTTGTTTGATCGGGAAAGACGAAATTCAAACTAATTTGCTTTTACTATAAACACGATCAGTGTTCGACGGACTATTTCGAAATCATTTATGATCATATTGTTTACAATTAAGTTAACTATTGATTTATTGATACATTTTTGTTACAATTTTGAACCATGAGTTTAAAATTCAAAATAGGTGACGATTTTTTCGAGGAAGTTTTCTTGGCTTCTTATGTTAAGTATTTGAAGAAAGCTCCGTGTAACATACGAGTTAAAATCTGAGAGTATATAAAGCGTACTGAGCTTATTATGACTTTCTGCACTTTGCATTAGATGATCGAATGAGAGAAAAAACAACTGCTTCTCCTATTTTGAGAGGTTTCATACTTTCTGATTGTCTGGGTAATATCTACGTAATGACTACAATGGACAAAATTGTCGAAACAGAAAGAAACAACTCGTTTAGAGTTGGTCAAATTGATTCTTATTTTGTAAATCTTTTGACTCATTTTTATTTTTGAATTTAACACATAAGTAATCTTAAAAAACTTCAAGTATCATTTTTTGAAATTAATGAAAAAATTTAATAAATGACCTATTGAACTTGTCCCATAAGTAGTTTTATTAGAGTTTATGGATAGTTTTTAGTTGTACTGACCAAATTTCTTCTCGTGAATAATATCAGTAACCTTCGTGTACTGTGTTTTGATGCCTGAGCAGATTCACTTTTTGTCCAAATTTTTTCTCGCATTTATCGCATGAGTAATTTTTGCGACCGTCATGAACTAAACTTCGATGCCTCGACAAATCTGATTTTTGTCCAAATTTCTTCTCGCACTTATCGCATGCGTAATTTTTAAGACCTTCGTGTACTGTTCTTTGGTGGTATAACAAATATGATTTAATTCCAAATTTCTTCTCGCATTTATCGCATGCATAGTATTTTTGGCCCTCGTGGATTGTTCTTTTGTGGAAGAGCAAACTTGATTTCTGTCCAAATTTCTTCTCGCAACTGTCACATGCAAAATCTTTGTGACCTTCATGTATTATTCTTAGGTGCTTCAACAAATTCGATTTTATTCCAAATTTCTTCTCGCACTTGTCACAAGTGTAATCTTTGCGACCTTCATGAACTATTCTTTGATGCCTCAATAAATCTGTTTTTTGTCCAAATTTCTTCTCGCACTTATCGCATGCAAAATCTTTAAAACCTTCGTGTACTGTTCTTTGGTGGTATAACAAATATGATTTATTTCCGAATTTCTTTTCACACTTGTCGCACGCGAAATTTTTACAATTTTCGTGTACTGTCTTTTGATGAACGAGCAAATACCACTTATGTCGAAATTTCTTCTTGCAAAAGTCGCATGCAAAATTTTTCCGATCTTCGTGGTATGTCGTTATATGCAAGAGCAAATGTGGTTTTTGTTCAAAAATTTTTTCGCACTCGTCACATGCAAAATCTTTACGACCTTCATGGACTGTCCTTAGATGGTAGAGCAAACTCGTTTTTTGTGTGAACTTTTTCTCGCACAAGTCGCATGTGAAATCTTTTTGAAATTCGTGTACTGTCTTTTGATGCCTTAATAAATTCCCTTTGTCTCCAAATACTTTCTTGCATTTGTCACATATAAATCCCTCACGACCTTCATTTACTATTTTTAGATGACAGAGTGAATTCAATTTATTTTCAAATTTTTTCTTGCAATTATCATATGTGTAAGCTTTGCGTCCTTCATGAACTGACCGTTGGTGCTTCAACAAATCTGATTTAATTTCAAATTTCGCCTCGCACATGTCGCATGAGTAATCTTTGAATATTTTGTGTACTGTCTTCTGGTGATAGAGCAATTGCGAGTTTTGACCGAATTTCCCTCCGCACTTGTCACATAAGTAATCTTTGCGACCTTCGTGGACTGTCTTTACGTGTAGAAACAACCTCTGTTTATTTCCGAATCTTTTCGCACACTTTTCACACAAATAATCTTTGAAAACTTCGTGGAATATTTTATTGTGCTTGAGAAAAGTTAATTTGTTTTCAAATTTCCTCCCACACTTATTGCATGAGAAATCTTTTCGATCTTTGTGTATTAATTTTTGGTGCGTAATCAAACTTGATTTTTTCACAAATTTTTTCTCGCATTGTTCGCATGAAAAATCATTGTGGCTTTTGTGTACCGATATTTGGTGACGGCTCAAATGACTTCGAAACTCGAATTTCTTCTCGCATTTGTTGCATGAGAAATCTTTGCTATCTTTGTGTACTAATTTTTGGTGCGAAGACAAACTCGATTGTTTCACAAATTTCTTCTCGCAGTTGTCACATGCAAAATCTTTGTGGCCTTTGTGTACCGATATTTGGTGACGACTCAAATGACTTCGAAACTCGAATTTCTTCTCGCATTTGTTGCATGAGAAATCTTTGCTATCTTTGTGTACTAATTTTTGGTGCGTAGACAAACTCGACTGTTTCACAAATTTCTTCTCGCAGTTGTCACATGCAAAATCTTTGTGGCCTTTGTGTACCGATATTTGGTGACGACTCAAATGACTTCGAAACTCGAATTTCTTCTCGCACTTGTCGCATGCATAA